ACTCTTGATGTACCCATATTGGTAATTATATACTGCTTATTCAAATTTGGTGATATTCAAAATTTGTCTAGCACAAAATTAATCTGTTCTCTTGTTTCTATAAGAATACGGGCCTGACGAAAGTTATGACCAAGATACGGTGAAATTACAGTTTCGCCGGAAAACTTTTGGCAGCCATTGTACTTGGAACGTGAACCAGACACCTGGAACAGCTAATAAGTTTCTTTTTCAAGTCGACGTCTAAGTCTTTTCTTCGTGGAATTGATTTTCCAAGATCACCATCGCAAAATTCGTTCTCCTTTTATCAGAGGATGGGTCGAGGATTCATAGTTTTATCTTCGATTCCGTGGTGATTGTAAGCCCAATAGTACCGCGAGGAACGATTCTTAGCAGTCAAGGTCCGGCTATATAAAGGAAATATCGTCCATTTATAGGATAATTGGCAATACTTCAGTAAAAATGCATTGCGCTGACGTGCTGATCGATAAAAGCTAGCCGAGTCTGGCGTCTATTCAGCTGGAAATTCACTGCGCTTCTGGATTTACACAAAAGAAGGCTATATTTATATATTCTGGCTTTAAGGGGGCTACATCTACCTGGAGGCATGAATAAGATACGCGGGTTCGGTAATATATTTATTTTTTTTTTTAAAGAATCACGTGGAAATGACGCGAAACATTTTTTTCTACTAAAAGATACATTTTTTAGCTGCTATATTGTCCGACATTTTGATGAAACAAATATTATTACCTAATGGCTACACTGCATGGTATAACTACAAAACCACCCTAAAATTTTCAATCTTTATGTATTGTGGTTGAAATAAAAACGAACCACTTTTTTTTCTAGGAAACATAATCTATCCTTTTTTGCAGAAAAACATTATTTCTTAACGCGATTTCAGACTTGGCATACTTGGTTATGTTTTTCTGTTGACCACGAAACATAAGAATTGAATATTTTAAAATGGTTTTATGGTTGTGCCACGCAGTGTATATCGGTTTTGCGTCAATAAACCTTGTACCTAGATACTTTTATTTCGTAGAATTTAGGACGATTTTACCAATTTTCATGAAAATCGGATGGTGGTAAAATTTGCATTCTAACAGTTTTCCGATATCTACAACAGGAAAACATACGGTAACCTTTGAGGGGTGGTTTCACTATGAACAAACAAATTTCAGCAAAAACGAAAAATTTTCCGACGCTTCTATTAACACCCCCCCCCCCAAGAAACCTCCAAGATTTCAAGAACATTGTAATTTTCGGGTTGCCAATGTTCCTGTGTTAGTCACTATTGACGCGTTTTGTATTTTCAAGGTTAACGTACGATACCTCGCAGAAAAAATTAAATGAAAAATTCTATCGGTCCCGTGACCATCGATAGAATAAAATTCTTCCTGTAGAAATCAATCCCCCCCGAGTCAGTGGTCTGGAATACGGAAAAAGCAGCGCCATTAGGGATCGATCGGTGACACGTAACCGGCAAGTAGTAAGAACCCGTCTGCGGTCGGACAGAATCACGTTACTGAATGATTGACGACGACCCGTCGCTGATTTACGCGTGGGTGTATCGCGGGGAAAGCTATTGCTTTTCCTTTCAAATGGTGATCTTATAGGGAATACCGGGGATAGTTGTCACGTTTTTTAATTGACAATTTTTTTTCTTTCTAATTACACCATTCAACCAATTTACAATTTTTTTCGGACTTTTAGCATTCAATAACAGTTTTCTATAAATCTTTGTGCCCTGAATACGAATCTGCGAACGGTTTTTTTGCCGGCGCCCTTAGTTTTTAAGAAATTTGATTTTGAAGAAAAATGCAAATGTTCAACTTTGAACATTTCCTGTGTTCAAAGAGTAATAGTTATTCGGTTGATTATATTGGTATCGTATTATGAAGATTTAAACATGTTTAAACATTAACGATATTTATTGAGCAACAACGATCTAGCGAACCTTTGTGTATTTACAAGTTATTGGCTCATTCTCCTTGTACAATTCATTCAATGACCATCAACCGCATCATTATTACATTTACCGTACACTTTTCATTGAAAAAAAAAATGTATTCTATAGGGAGAATATCGAAATGCTCTAACCCATCTTTACATAACTGGATCGATCGACGGGTTCGAATAGAATTTTTTCGAAACTCGATCGGGGCAAGGCACTCTCTCCGCTTTTAACGGAGAAATTTCATTACGTTCGCCGCGTTTGGAGTCACCATCCTGAAGAAAAGTGTCGAATGATCAGGTTAGGTGAATACCTACCATCCTTTCTCCCAGAAATCAAAACTGAAAACTGCATGGTACGAGGAATTACGTCTCATTGGTTGTTTATATCGACCAAAGTCTCCATCGAGAACTTACACCGACAAATCTAAATCAGCAAAACTGACAGGATTACAAGCCACCACAGTGGTAACGTGTTATTGAATTTGAATTTATTTATTTACTCTTTTTTCTAGTATTAATTAAAATCCATGGGAACTTGAAAGCCTATTAAATTCATATTAAATCGCGCGTAGTGTTAGAACTTGCAAAAAATCTGCAAACATTATTGTATTATGCAGTCGTATGAAGTAATGATGTTTGATGCGATGGACAATTTTTTACCACACGAATGACAGTAAAAATCACAATAACAGTGCTTGTCAATTATTAACATCTCGACCCAACAGTAATCCTGATTCCCATGTTTAGTTTCGATTGTGTTGAAAGAGAAGGTAATTCTCAGGAGTTAAGTCAACTATTAATCAGACACTAGCTGAAATATTAAGACAGCCATTAGCCACGGGAACAGTACCGTCTAAGTATTTGTTGTGAGCAGAAAATTAAGTGATTTTATCTTTCGAAATATCGATACCTCAACGGAATCAGCTTACCCCAACATACAAGCGAATCATTATTTTTTCCGTGATTCTACGAAATAACGAGAGGGAAACACGTCTGTCAGGTGTCAGACTTGCAATTAGGAATCTCCCCCGAGTGAACGATTCAAGATGTTTCGCTTTTCTTTGATCAGTTCCCGGACATATTTCCTCCGTCTCCTTCGAAGTAAGAATGAAAGAGGGATGCGTTCACCGTCACCTTCAACGTTACCTGCGTTGAAGAGACGCGAGTATCGCGAGGGAGCTACCGCGAACGCAATCGAATCAACTTTTATTAGTTCCAAGGAAAATTACTTTAACATTCTGATTACGAGAAGGGTTTGATGAGAGTCGAGATCCAACGCAACGAAGGATCCTCCGTTTTCTCCTGGAGACGCTGAAAAGCAGCTTCAGAGCGCACGGCATCGAATTAACATAGACTTTTCGATCTGTCGAGTGTTTCATGTGTAGCTCTTTTCATTGCACTACAAGATCTGGAAAATTCCCAAAAATTTCTTACATACGTGTTTTTAATACACGTTCAAAACCATGATCTCTACGTGAAAACGTGTTCCGTTTTCATATGATATGTTGACTCCGATTCTTTAAGGTGCGTGTCCACTTGTTGCGTATCTTCGTATTTTATCACCGTTGCGTATCAATGTGGACGGGCAAGCGTTGCATCATTGTGTATCAAAATGTGATACGAAGACATGCCAATAGACCGATCTGTCATTTATCGACTCAAGAGATGAACCCATTGTCGTCACAGGAGGAACTGATACTCTTTTTCTCATGACAGATTGTATCCTCTATTTTTATACGTAACAAATGGATATGCACCTTTACAGAGCTGAACAACCGGGTGTCCTCGAATCAACGAACAGCTTCGAATTCCCTTAGTTGATGGAACGGGATCAACCGGTCCGGAGAAAACGATCCCATCTCCCTTTTTGGAACCGGGAGCCATGAGATGCTCGTAACGAGATTCCCGATTCTCGTTCGCCCACGAGTATCCGTCAGATGGTAAAAGAATTCTTTGAAGTCGAATCGAATGGGGGGTATTCGTCGAGAGGCCGGCCACAGATTTAATTTTTCCTTTGAAGATCGAGACGGGATCTCGACGGTGCGTCCAAGATTTATCTATTTGATCTCGTGGACCAGCTTTCCAGATAAATTACTGGCTCGACGGACGCGCGAATCGATATCGGAATCTTTGAAGAGCCTCCGACTGTCCCTAATGTCCCGGACTTCTTGGACCGCAAGCTTCATTTTTCCCTTTGAAGATCGACGGGAACTCGACGGTGTGACCGAGATCTACATACGTAATACGATCCAAATATTCTTAGTCTGAGTAATAAACAGATATCGTATAAATAAAAAAACGTGTATCATTTTTCAATACAGTCCCCCTTCATTGCAATACATTTGTTATAACGGAAAATTAACATATTAATACCTATAGCAAAATACTTTTTGTCTTTGTCTGAAAAATGCTTTTAAATAGTTTCCGATACCTCTTCATCGTAGTGAAACTTCCATCACGAAAACTGGATTTCAATTTTGGAAACAAATAACAATCGCTAGGGGCCATCTAGACCTGTACGGTGGTTGAGGCATTTCAGTAATTAAATAAACTTTTGTTTACCGTGTTCCGTTTTGAAATAACTAGAAATCGCACTACATGTAAAAATAATTCGGGCGTTCGTTATGACTAAATATTATTTAATTGATTTTAGAATGAATTTCAATTTTTTAAGATTTATGTAATTTACTGTATGTTTTATTACAAAAAATCCTCCCTCCTTTCCAAGCAATTGAATCCCCCGAATGTTTCATAGCACAGGGGCCCGAAAAACCTTAATCCCAGCCTGTTGTGCCAACACTGGGTGCTGAAACGAAGTGTGCCTCCCACGAAGTTAAAATAACTTCTAACCAAACAAGATGATATATCATGTAAAATAATCATTTTTAAGATATTTTGTATAAATAATACCCAACTCTGGGGCCCGTGGTATACGACAAGGGAATTCTGATTATTATAGTGACGAAAGTAAACACAATTATTTCTGGTCGCGTTTAGTCAACCGAAGTTACGACACTCAAATGGGACACGGTTTGTTGCAGGAGCAAGGTGGCCGCGGCACTTTTGAACAAACATCTGCAGATCAACGGCATTTCCGCCGGTCTGACAACGCTGCCGACCGTGGATCAATCCTCGCCGGAACCACAGCCGGAAGATCCGCCGATCACGAACAGCAGTAAAATGAGGAGGGAACGAAAAGCGGCGAGGACTCTCGGTATCATCATGTCCGCGTTTCTGGCTTGTTGGCTCCCATTTTTTCTCTGGTAAGTGCCGTTTTCCGACGTTTCTCCAACCCCCAATAGAGCGACGATAAGATACCCATTGCCATCCCCATTTCACCGTTGTCTTACAACGGTTGTTGGACAACCGTAAGGGATCGATGATTCCTCGATTTCAGGCGATAGCATGATAATATTATTTGGTGTAATTTTATTCGAATAATAGCATTATAGTGAAAGCAACAATATCTAAAAACGTCGTTCTGATCTTTAAAACAGTTGATGAGATTAAATAATTGTTTGCGAATTTTTTATTCGTCCACATGGACGTAGCCGAGGGGGGGGATTTGTTAGCCTAGAGGAAAGGAAATTGGATTTTGTCTGCCCCCCCCCCGTCCTCTAGAAGAAAAAAATAATATTATAAAATTTACCTTAAGATAAATTTCACCCCCTTCCCGACGGATAACCTGGTTACGCCCATGGGCATCCAAGAAGAATTATTATTTTAGGATAATGTACCCAAAAGCACCCACATCCGATGACCCTGACAGTGACACGTGTTATAAAGATAATTTTTTTTCTTATGTTCAGATTTCTGTGAAAATTACGAAACGTTTTCCGGCCTTTTTTTCTTTAATAACTTTTTAATAACTAATGCTCGGCGGTTTAAAGCTTTTGAAGATTACTCGAAGAGAGAGGGATGGGAGTTGATAACATATGTCAAGGCCAGGGTCATCGGTTCTAAGTGCTTTTCGGAAATTCACCATTATTTTATTATAACAACTGGAATTTCCACGTTCAACTAATTAAAAATGACGAAGTACTTTTTCGTCTTTCATTCGTTACTGAAGACTCTTTATATAAATAATCAGTTTGCCCGTCTTGGATTCAAGGTGTTTATTTTGTCTTGCAATCCCATAGATAAATAGGGTAAACAAATATTTCTTCTTTAATACCCCTAGTACCTATAAATCAGCCCATAAAAATCCATATTTCCATAAACAATCCGTAGTATATCGATCGCGACAAACCCCCCTCTGTCATTCTCAATCAAACCGTTCTCCTTCATTTGTCCCTTACTTTTCTTTTGTCTTTTAAATGTTCCTTTCGCTCCCGAGTGAAGTCGCGAAGTCCAGGCTGAAAAATAGGTGCTCCTCCGTTGAATGGAATTTCAATGAGCCAGCCTCGAGAGTGGCCCAAGAGTACTTTCGATGCATCCCGAAATTTCCTAAGGGTTTGGAAACGCGGCATAAGGGGGATGAGGGTTGGGTGGTTGGGGGGCGGGGGCACAGGGCCCGATCGATAACGTCTCGTGGGGAAAGAAGCCACTGTGCTTCCACTGCTGCTACGATCTCAAGTGGCTTGTACAGAATTCGACGAGCATCGAGGGCTTGTTTCGAAATATTGTAACAAACAGTCGATCCAGCGACGCCATTTTCTTCGTGGCGAAGGGAACATGGATGGTCTATCTCTTTTTTCGAATGCACTGGACACCTCAACCCTTAAACGTTGCACAGTGACTCACACATTTGTTGAACCATTGAAACCATTTAAATTACGTAAAAAATATTTTTCGTATAATCACAGATAGAGAAGATATTTAGGTGGCCTGTTTTAAGCCGAACACCCTGTATAATAAGGAGAATATATTATCAGAAATTGCATGAAAGTTTTGACACCTAATTGTTATTTCAGTAATTCGCAAACGAATGTGTCTGTTACTGTACAATATTTTTTCAATTTTCAGTAGAGTTGGCTACACGCTGCGATTGGTAGCCAACGCTACCGCTAAAGCTCGGCCGGCAGACTCGCGATCTGATTGGTCGGGGTTTTTCGTTAATATCTCATTAACAAAGCCTCGGATAACATTTTCGCTAAAAAAAAAAAGTGGTTTCAAATCATCCCAGGAACCCCTCATTTTCGGGAGTCGAAGCTATTTTGGGACACCCTTGTATAATACCGACGAATCTGCAATAACGAACAATAGTATTATATGTATACTCCAAGTCGCTCCCCAGTATCATGTTCACCGTCAGTTTGTGAAATTGTAGCAGGTATTGTACGCTTTATTATGTACCCCGTTTAGAAATGTGCATAATTCGTTATGGAAACTCCAATTGTGTATTTCTCCTTCGCTTCTGGGTACGGTTTCCAACATTTCATTTGAATACAGTTAATTTAATTTTTTCATCAAAGTTTAAACGAATTTTCCTTCGCAATCACCGATCGTATCCTGCATAATTTTATTGGACCACCGTGTCTAGACGATCGATCACCCCCCGTCCAATTCATCAACATGTCGCAATAACGCAATCAGAATGAAACGCGTCCAAACAAAATTTGCACCGAGCATATTCGACGCGTGTCAAGTGTCGGCTTTCGATGTGTCACGAAATGATTTCTGTTGCACGCATAACCGGTTAGATGCGACGGTTTAAGCACAGTTTACCGATTCCTGGTAGGTATATGCCGACGAGTGCACCGGAAATGTCCTAGCAATTCTGACAAATGTATTCTGCTCGGCTGTCGCGCACGATCGCCCACGTACACAACCCGCTGCATACCAGATCCTTTGTTTATCGAATTTTCATCTGAAAACGTCATTGTTCTCGTCGGTCTCGCGTACATTCGGCCTGCCTACCACTGTCAAGTGAACATTCCCGTTGCAACAATAACGCCCAAAAATCAACGACACTACTCTCCTGTTGCGACTGTGTTCAGCAGAGAATCTTTGAAAAATGACTTGCATTGCAACTATAACGGCCAGAATTGAAAAAAAAAATTAACTTTCGTTAGAATTGTAAAGCTAAAAATGTTTAATAAATGACTTTTGTTACAGCCATAATGTTCGGAAATGAAAGAACTTATTTTCGTTGCAACTATAATTCCCAGAATCGAAAGAAACGACATTAGGGCAGGGCTACAATATCAAAATTTAGTTGGAATTTTTAGATATTTTCAACATTGCCACCGTAATGCTCGACACTTTTACGAATGGATTCAGGGGCAAATAACACGTTTCAAACGTTTAAGAAATATCACTTCCTTACAACAATACTACCTCCAGATTGTAACCATCAACCCTATTTGTTAAATTAAGTCGCAAAAAAATTCTGAAATGAAGTTCGACCATTATATTTTCATGGTTAAAAATTAACACAGTTTCATAGTGTTTAAAAAGAATTCTTGAAAGAAAACGTTGAATACATATGTTTTCCTTGGTTAAGAAGATAATGGAATCAAAGTTAAATAACAAAGCAAATAATGTTACTACCAGAGGATAGATCGAGATGTCTCAAGTGGGAAGAAGAAATATTATCAACTAAGAAAATTCTCCTCAAATTGGATGTTTCGAGTGAATTACTAGATGGGAAAGCAATAATTTCCAGAGTAATTCATTTTTTGAAATGGTCCATTTCCTCCGGGCTATCCGGCTGTTTCGATGTGGACTCCTCGTAAAGTACTTTTTACACGAGAAAGCACTTGACTTTGATAAATTGATGTCTTGACGTATCTTCATTACTGCCCGGCTCCACTGGTTCCCGCGGCCATATTGGAAACTCTAGACATTAATATCTTATAGACTCTAGGATATCTTAAACACTAGAATTACCAAGCAAATCAAAATGACTTGTCAGTACATTCTTATAACGATGATCAAAATATTATAACGATACATATTCTCGAACCTTTTGCGACTTTTATTACAATATGAAAGTGAAGAAATTGCTACTAGAACTGTTTAAATAATTATGACTGTTATTGTACCGATTAATTTAAAAGCATTAAATAGCACAACAAATATAAAAACACTGGTTTTTCTCAACCTGTCTATTTAAACAGTGTTGATTATATGGATATTCGACCTACTCTCAGTAGTTTCATTTTCTGTCACTAGTTGGCGTATCGAAATTCTTACTTTCCCAATACAGTAGACTCCCGTTAAAGTAGCGATAGGAGCTCCCCACTATCGGTCGCCTTCTGCAACCAAAGTTATAATCCAATTGGTGGATCGACCGAACTGCTACGAGATCCTGCGTGCCCATTGGTTCACGTTAAAGTAGCATTTCCAGGATAAACCCGCCTCCAGATCCCCGGTACTGCTACTTTAACGTGAGTCTACTGTGGTGTTACAAAAAAAATATCCTATTCATTTGATAGACATTGGAGACCATAGACAAATCCTGCATCGTAAAGGAGAAAATTAAACATCCCCGTGTTGCCACCTCTACCACTTTAATCGACACGTGAAATCTGTTATACGTGATCCACGAACGTACAACGGAACGATCCCACCGATGTCTCTGCGATCGTAACCGATATACGATCCGTGTGAATCGCGGTCTTCCGGGGCAAACATTCATTTCCCCAGCGTTTACAGCTGCCTCATCGAATCAGCGGAGGTTCTCGAGTCTTTTTCTCGTTTTTCCCCCACTCTCTTTTCGTTTCCCTTTTTCTCGTTTCGACTACACACGTCTGGAAACATCCGAGTTCCGCTCCCCAAGCGATGATCTCCTTTTTCTTGCGTGACTTCGTTTCGAGTTTCCGGTTACGTCGCCTTCGGACCACGGGAATCAGAGAAAATGTCACGAGAAACCTGCATCCATTCAGGAGGCATCGCTACCTGAATGAAATTCGAATAAAATATAGATATGTGCAGGACGTTTTGTTTATTCTTTTCGCTTTGGTATATCCCCATTATTGTTTTTGGGAATAGGAAAAAACTGCGTAGGTCAGAACCTGAAGTCAGATTAGAGTGGGGCGAATGTTGTAATTTATGATTTTTACCGTCAAACTTACCCCCTTTGAAATTGTTCAAGCTTGCCGATAATTTATGTTTTATTATGATACAGCGGAACGTCGTTAACTGGGTGTCGACAATCGGACATACGTCGATAATATGAAAAAACGATTATTCGAAAAACCAATCATACGAAACACCGATCATTCGAAAGATCGAACGTTCGAAGAACCAATCACTCGAAAAACCAATCAATCGAAGCATCGCTCACTTAAAACACCAATCGTTTGGAAGACGACCAAGAATATAACATAAATTGAATAATATAGATTGTAACTCTGCCCTTACAAAAAGCTACAAACATTTCCGACCAACCCAATGCATTCCATTAATTTTACATGTGTGCATCATGTGTATTTAGTATACCACGTATGGTTGTATTCGGCCCATCGAGTGCGAAAAGACTTTTTACCATTTTTCACCGTGCCTCAATGACGTTCATCGACAAACGGCCAAACGGAGCCACGGTTTCGACCGAGAAATTCGTCCCCGCCTTTTCAAGCTTCGAAAACAAAGGCTGGGGAGGGGTAAAATTATTTCTTCGAGCCGGTGAAAGGGTCGAGGGTGGGGCGTGGGCGTAGAAAGAAGGTAGTGTAAAGGACAAGAGAACGACCGAAGAACGTTCGCGTGAAAACCGGGTCGGCAGGAAAAAGGCCGCGATTCTGCCACTCGCCGAGGTGTCAGACCGTGTACGTTTCACTTTATTAACTCGTCCGTTCCGTGCTCTCCCCATTTCTCTCAACATTTTCGACGACTCGAGCGAACCAAGTCGAATATCCTTGGTGGACAGACCGCGCCATTGTTCTCGGCAGTTTCCTACGGACTTGGAAGTCTATCGTACTCTTGTGATTACCTGCAACAGGACACCTGGACTAATGTCGATCATCAATATTTTCATTTAATGGAGAGCTATGCCGTTCGTTTCAGCCGCTAGAAAATTTCTATTCCACAAGATTATCCATTGGACGGTAATAATAATTAGTTACCCACCGTACATACCGAACACTTGCATTGGTATTAAGTAGAAACAGAATGTAATGGACAGACACGAGGTAGACTGATAAAATTCTTTTAATTATAATTCAACGATAATTCAATGAACTGCATAATGATTCTTTTATAACATATGAATTTTCAACAGAAAATCTTTATTTTAATGAAAAACTTTCATAAATATCATTATTATTATTGAATTTATATAATTATATTATATAATTATATAATTTATATTGTAGATGAATAAATCTTGCTTAATCCATTTCTGTAATAATAAGCAGAACGTTCCTTATCAATCAAACTTAATCTTCGATCTTTAATCCCTCTCTAGGGGAATCTACAGTCAGGCAATCGGAAACCGTTGTATATGCATGTTAATAGACGTTCACTATGCATAGAACACGTAATTAATCTGATGACAGAGACTGGTAAAGATATAGAAGCATTTAAGTTTTCGTAACTAACTTATGCGCAAGCCAGCTTAAATTCCCACGTCATTACGTTAATAATTTTCAATTAAAACTCTAACCAGCCAAGTGTGTACACTGAATTTCGAGGTGAAACTTTACCGTCACGGTATTACCAGAATTTCCCGGAATGTAGCGCGTAAAATGTGAACGAAAATATTGATCGGAAGTTTTAATTAAAACACTTTATAAAATTTGGAATGTTTACCGAAATATTAATTTAAAAACAATTATCGTTTGAAGCTCGAATCGATTGAAGCTTCAAACAGCAGCAGCTGAAATTTCACGAAAATTCTGTTCAGTTGAAAACATTTTCACGTAACCGCAGCTGTTGGAGGCCATACATAGTGCACGACTTCAAACTGTATTATGAAACTGCTAAAATTTCCGCCAAACAAGACTCTCTCGAAAATCTGCCCCGTTATTTGCCCCGAGTGCTCTTCGGAGGAGGGGGACGAAGAATCGATAGGATGGGGGGACGAAAATCCGACAATTCCGGGGGATTGGGAAAGTTCTTGAGAGCACTTTCGTAGAGCCTCATTAGGTGTCACGGAGAAGAAGTCTTTTAATGAGCAAACCCACTCTTCGGAGGGTTCTAAAGGGGCCTAGAAACAGAAAGGCGTTCGTCGAAGGGAATTTTAAAACGAAAAACCTTCAATTCGCCACTCGAAAATTACGTGCGTTAAGTCGGATTCTTCTACCTTCTCGAATATTAGGTACACATCGTGGTCGGTGAAAATTTGTACGATATAATCACGAATGTTCCGTTTCTATGTAATTTACAATTCATTCTATAATTGTTCACAGACATACTATTATATTTTTACGTCCACATAAAACTTCATTTTTATAACTCTGGACTCCTTAAGGTTTCATATAAATAAAAAAACTATCCGTATATGTCACCTGTTTCTTTTTTTAAATTAAATTTAACTGGATTCGTAAAATACCACGCTGCACGTCGGAAGCGTCACACTGATTCGAAATGAACAACTTCCCTCCCAAAAAGAGCACCAGAACATACTCAGCGAGGAAAAAACAATTGAAAATCCACCGTGTCGCTATTGCCTGAACTCTAACTTTTCGAGACATTCAAACTGCAATCATGAAGAGTTGTGGGCGACCGCAAGCTCAAGCGCAACTCGAAGAAAAACTGGGAACGACAAGCGATGTAGGAGGGGAGGGGGGGGGGATTCTCGCGTGACCGCGGAACTTTTCCAGCCACTCTCGTCTGAAACGATATTTCAATCTCCGACGGACATATCCCCGAGAAATTCACGGGAGAATAAAACGAGCGTAGCCAAGGGGCCCGAGGAGTTTTAAATTGCGCTTGGCGGCGAAGGGTCCTCCTCCGGCTTTGTCTCGCGCGACCCCCTTCACTCGGATCGCATTGCCCGCAGAGCTGAATAAAATTTCGAAAGAAGGAAAAAAAATTAAGGTCAGACAATCCGTTACGAACCAAGGTGGAAGGCGGGTCGGGCTGTATCGAAATTACATCAAGAGCGTGAAGTACGATAAATATTCCGAGAACACTGTTTCAACGCGAATTTTGATTCGTAAAGCTACACCCCAGTCCATAACTCACCGTATACATACGCTACTGAACGCGAAATAGGAACGAATTAAGGTTAAATAAAATATACATAAAAAAACTTTTTAAATGTATGTACTAAAAAAAGTAAGTATTAAATAAAAAAAATATATACAACAAAAATGGCACTAAAAATAAAAAAGAATTTTTCTAGCTGTCACAACATTCTTGGTCATGTGCCTAAAACTAAAATGGTGGGGCGCTCATAAAAGGATTATATTGGTTGGTAATCCATTAAATCAAAACGAATTTACGAGGATCTGAAACATTTCTCCCAATATGATTATTGTCCTGGCGCGGACTGGAGTTCGAAACAATAATCGAGGGTAGTCTGTAGTACGAATAAGCGCTACACGGTGTGCAGGGCGCACATGGTCTGTCTACGCGAAACTAGATTGGGTCCAGTGGATGGATAAGTCCATTTTCGTCCCTCTGTAAACTTATCCATCCACTAGACTGAAAATGATGGATGAACATACTCATCTCTTTAGTACCTTAGTAAGACAAGACTCCTAGATCTCTTAAAAAATTCGAAAAGTTCATACCTAAAAATAGCTATCCCTGCCAACGTTAAATGCAATCCCCCCCGTACCCAATAAAACCTATTTAACAAACGTCCGAACAATTTACCGAAATCGTTATCGATATTCGTATTTCATATCGTTTCGTGGATGATTCTCTGTCCCCAGGTACATCATCACGTCCCTCTGCGACACCTGCGAGAGCAGCGACGCGGTGGTCGCGGTGGTCTTCTGGGTCGGTTACTTCAACAGCGCCCTGAACCCGTTGATCTACGCGTACTTCAATCGTGACTTCCGGGCCGCGTTCAAAAAGACACTGGAGAGCTGTTGCGTGGCGATCGGTCCGGTTCGCGACCTGCACCAGGTGCACAGGAAACAGGACCTGGTGCACAGCAACGCGTCCTCGGAGTTGCACGTGAACAATCAGCTGCGAAACAGCGAGATGACCAACGTGCACATCGAGGCGTGCATCTGAATCCACGGTGTCCACAGCCCATTTCGGAAGCTTTCGAGCTCGGACGACGCTGGACATCTTTATATGGGGTTGGTTTAGTCACGGCAAACAGAACAACTGTATACCTACTGCTAAATACTCTTGAACAATACACATCTGTAGGTCTCCTTTTACATGGTTTCTATTTTGTGCGATTTATTCGGATTTGCACGATTTACTTACTTTTACACGATTGCCTTAAAAACGCACATTAATTCATTGAAAATGTCAAGAAAAGTCATGTGTATCCCATACAAATATTTCAAAATGTTTCTCATCTTAAAGTTCACTGAAAATGTCAAGAAAAATCATGTGCATCCCATATAATATACCTGTTAAATGGTTTTTCTTTACACAGTTCCCTTATCACACGGTTCTTTTTTTAGACGATTCACTCCTTTTACACGATACACAACCACAGTGTAAAAAGAGACCCAGGTGTACAACGTTCGTCCCGAACATATTCTCCTATCTTCGATCGAAACAGAGATATTCAGGTGTTCCATTTATCGTGACTAACTCTTGTATATCAATATCGGGACAATCGTCGAGTTAACGATGCTGTTAACGTCACCATTCGTGTATAGTAGTTCCATGGTTAAGAGAGTGTTACTGATTAAGAGTCGATGGTCAGAGTGAGAGTGAATGTGTGTGGTGACCAGATTGCGGATGTTTGTACACACTTGAAACGCACGCAAACGTGTAATAGATCGGCCATTTCGAATTTACTTGTTGATTTCTGTAACCGTAGCGACCACCATTATCAGAGTCATCTCGAAATTCGACTAACTCCATTTTCGAAAGTGAAATAGCTCCGTACAGTGAACGGGAAACCTTTCAAGGAGCAATAAAATATGTCGTTTTATCATTAGCTGGATAAACTCTAAAATATTCCTTTCGTTTTCTAGGTTTTCTAATACAGTCCATGATCGAGGATTCAAATGAACATCCGCAGTCTATTGAATGCTCGTGTTAATGGTCACAGTATGAGTCGATGACAAGTTCTGTTCATCGCCAATTAGGATTTAATACCTCGTTTTGCTAGTCTGAAAGGAATGGCTAATCGAATCTGTGGTTCTAGTCCGAAGAACGTATGTGTTTCACTGTCAGTATTAGATGCTTTCGGATATTGAATGAAATCGAATGGAGTTTGAATGATATTCTGGGATGAAGAAGACTGTTAAGTGATTTGGACACCTCCGTCGTGACTATGACCATATGTTTTATCCTTGATCGGAGATCTCGGTGAACGTTCAGGGTACCGTGGACATAACTAAACGTGGCGTTAGGTCTCAAACATATCAAATCGATCGTCTGTAGCAATAAGTATGCTTTAGCTAGTTTGAATCAAGTGTCGAAATGTTAGGTGACGTAGGAAATCAAATTCTGTTGAACTTTTATTTTTATATATTAGTAACCCAAACTGTCATTTTGCATAAACATCCGTAGTCTAGTTATAATACTACACCGTTCAAAATGTTTCAGGAGAAGTCAAATAGAACAAAAAATTCATTCAGCAGTATCTATTCAGATCGCCTTCAAACTTCGTCAAACTCTTGATTATCCCAGATTCTACAGAATCGTTTATGTTATAATACTACTCTGTTCAAAAAGCTTCCAGGAGAAGTCGAATTGAATACAAAATGCATTCAGCAATATCTATTTGGTCGCCTTCAAAGTAATTCTCATTGGTTGCAATATACAACAATTTTTCGAAATCATGAGGAGTGAGAACGAGACTGACTTTAACGCAGCTGAAGGGTCAGAAGAGAGGTTTGATAAGGAGGGGCTCGAAAGGTGGGAAGCTTCCGACTCGGTCGACCTATTTTAAGGATGAAGCCTGACTTGGTCACAGGCTTCTCCCGCCTACTTCTGCCGTGGCGTTTCATCAAGCCAGCAAATGAGACTCCCGCTCCCGGCCAGATTGATCATCTGGTTTCTGGAATATTTTAAGATTGGCTTGATAACGTCGGTCCCACCCCCACGCAACCACTAATCGTGCAGCCGATTTTTTTACGTTTGTACTAATCATTCTACGTCGGACAGGCGTTAGATGTAGAATATTTCTACGTCTCTTATATTCACAATCGTTAAATAAAAAAAATTTAATAAAAAAGACATAACCAGTACATCATTATTATTATAGGAAGAAAACATAAAAGAAGAAAATCGTTACACAGGTCACAGAATGCCAAAATAGGGAAAATCCCATGGAGAGTATTTGGACACTGTTTAAAGAACAAGTGGATGAGTAAAAGTTTTTCCAATAATTCTTTTAGAAAATTTCGAAAGAAATGTCTTTTGATACTCCTCTGACTGGTTCCAAGGGAATCCGCAGGAGTATTTGACCAGGACCTGTTGACTTTTCAACCACGTGTGGGTTGGTTCGAAGCGTGCAAAGTCAGAGTTGGGCACAAAGTTTTATTCAAATAATAGATAGTGGAAAACAACAGTATCTATGTCATCCTGACCTTTAAACAGTCAATGAGATTAAACGACTATTTGCGGAGTGTCTACTCATCCAAGAAAAAGTATTATTTTATCATAAAAACTGGAATTTCCACCCATTTAATTTATTAAAAATGCCAACGTACTTATATGCTTTTTTCTATCGTCTACTCGTTATTCGAATCTCTTTGTCTGGATAATGAATTTGCCCATTTCTGTGCAAAATTACCGCAAATGTACGAGTGCTCAGGGGTGCTTCAGGACGATGTTGACACAGGGAGTTGAGGGATGAACGCGATGAGGGCAAGGATTACGAGGACACCCGTGTACCTTCGACTAATAGCGAAACGATAAACCATGAATAATGCACAGAGAAAACGATCGATCGTTGGATAATCACGGTTTATGACTAGACTGCTGATTTTATGGATTTATCGTAAATATGAATGTACACGGAACAACGTACAGTAAAAATTGTTTGCTAAAGATCAGTATAAAGAGTAATAGCCAGACAAGAGGGTCAAAGTGCCCTTAAACCGAATTGGACTTTTGATAGTCCATTTGATAGCTTGTCAAGAAAAAAACAATTTCTAGCAATTTTCAACCCTCTGTCTCGACTAGGAGGTTAGTAACAGGAAAAATTTGGATTATCGGTTTTACCTCGATTTTTCCGATTCAATGACATACCAAAATTCTGTAAAATATGTGACAGATGATAGTTATAGACAAGTATTTTTTTTTAATTTTTTGCAGTTGTAAAAATCTGCATTTACATCGAGGATCTGTAGTCTGCTTGTAAAATACAAAAAAAGAACAGATCTTTGAGGAAGACGATTTTACATGAGATTTGGTGCTAAATTTGTTGACTGCTGTGGTTTAAGATTATTTGCCACGAACAGTGGTTATTTCGGATTAAACAAGGAACAAAATGATTGCGCAAAGCTGTCCACGAATGCTATTATGGTGGCTGTATTTTTGTTATAATTTCACGCCATTCCGTTGATATTTTCGACTGGAAATTAATCGTTTAGTGACTAGACATTTCTTATCAACTTCTTTCGCACTGAACGCGAAGGTATAATTACAAAAATTACCTTGGAGTACGAGAAGCCAAGCATTTAAACGAGATTGTTGGCTGATAAAATCGTTATCACTGGAGATAGAGCAGTGAAGTTACACGTAAATGATAATACAAAAAAAAAAATTCAAAATTCGTCAAGCAGAATATAAAGAGAGCATATAGAAGTATTGGATCTCTAGGAAATGGCAATATTCAATACTATTTACAAATTATGTCAATTACACAAACGATCAAAGTACAAATTACCAAAATATCCACTATCGAACGTACGAAGGAATAATTAAAAAGTGACTGAACACTTTTGGAAATTTATTATTTTGTAAATCGAATTCATTTCAGCGTACCTAGTCAAACGATGACAAATAAAAATGGTCTGAAAAGTTTTCTGACGAGCTGAATAAGCTACATTTTTACGAACAGGTTAATTATTAACCTAAGTTCGTTAATCGTTTCACATTGTTTATCGAATTACCTTCAGATGAGAAGAAACACGTTGAAGATTCACGAGAAAAGCTTTGGAAATGCTTTAACTGGCCATTGATTTACCCGAGAGGAGGATAAATTTGCTCAGGGGCAGAGTTGGACACAATTTTATTCAAATATGTCTAATATAAGAGGAAAATCAGAAGTATTTAAGACCATCATCCTAATCTTTAAACAGCCAATGAAATTAAATAATCGTTTGCCAGAGACGGTATCATCTTATTATAAAAATTGGAATTTCCACGTTTAATCGATCAAAAATGACGAAGTACCTTTTCTATCTTTTATTCGAAACACTTTATCCATACAATGAATTGACCAGACAGAAGTTCAAAGTGAACTCTGCAACATGGTAAACACAAGCTGCTTCCTTTCAATATATCATGAAGCTTTTAAGATTACGCACGCGTGACAAGACTCTCTTCGCTCGAGAAATACAGAAACCATTCGAGAATATACGCTACGCGTGTGTTCTGACCGGATATTCCGGGTTGAAAAAAAAAAAATAAAGGCGATGCTTCTTGATGAATGAAGAAAAAGTTGTTGCCGGGGTGAAGATTTATATCGAAGCCAGAGAAGACGAGTGCCTCGATAAATTTTTCACGGTTCGTGATACAACATAGAGACGGCCCTTGGCGAAGCCATACGAGGGCTGCAGAACGCCATGGATGAAAAGTTGGATGCGCAAAGTGTTCGGGGATTTTTCTTGAAAAGGGCCAGAGAGAGAGAGAGAGAGAGAGAAGCTTCTTTAGAAAAGAAGTATTTCGTTGGGAAAGTATATGTTTCGTTCGTTATAAAGAAATAATATTCCGTTAAAACGTTGCACTATATTTGAAATTCTTTAAATCGACGTTGAAAATAAGTATTCGGTGTACCAAAAAATCATGCATTATTTCTTGACGAAATCAATATTTATTTATACGGAAGACAAGGATCTACTATATTGTTTTATTTATACTTATAACAATTG